TTTAAACTCGTAGATGTGTTGATACAGGTAAAGTGCTGGATGAGCTACAGAAAGTGTAGGTCAAACTCGTACAGCTCTACAGACGTCATTAAAGCTGAAGCAGAAAAATAATGTGAATGTTCTGCTCAGCTGCTTTGGAAATTTATATCAAAATATATTCTTGCAAAGTATTTTTAAATAGATTCAGCTCAATCACACCTACTGTACAATGACTGAATATTGAATATTTATTTGGTCTTATTGTCTATTGCATTTATATTTTATTGAGTAAATAAACCAATTCATAAAGATTTCATTAAGCAAAAATAATCAAGAACACTGTGGAACCAATGAATCCTAAAGCTAAGTATGCAGAAAAACTGACAAAAATAAATCAATTTAGTTAAATTGACACAGAATCTGGTACTGAGAAAAAATATATATGCAAGGCAGGTGATGTTTAACACAGCAATACCCAAGGTGAAGAGACAACACAATGTAAAGCAAACTCTCTGACTCTGCTTTGGATCAAAACAATAGCACGATGTTATATAACCACAGGTGTACAAATATAGAACATTTCAAAAACAAAAAACACAAATTGAAATAAATGATAATAAAAATGAGCTCACCGTGAAATGTACCATTTAGGTGACCTGAAACAATATGACCGAGATTCTTCTGATTTGGATCTCTTTGACATAGATGACGTACTTCTATAAATAGCACACTGATCATTTTCTAACTCCATTTCAAACTCAGGAGATTTAAGGATTTCTTAAACATGCATGAATGAGTCAAAATAACACTTTTTGATGTGGGAATGAACATGATATACACTGCAAAACTGTCCATCTTACCAAGTTTTAAAATCTTATATCCAGCCAAAAAAGTATGTTTGATCTTGTTTTGAGACTGATTTACTAAACAAGAACTGATTGTGTAAGAATAATAATCTTGTTTTCAGAATGTTTAAGATTATTTGTCTTATTCGTCTGAAAATTTGACTCAAACTGTCAAACATTTCTGCCAATGGAGTAAGAAATTTTTACTTGGTAAGATACTTGAAACAAGAAAAAAATGAGTCAAATCAAGTATTTCAAGAATCTTACCAAGTAAAATTTTCTTACTCCACTGGCAGATATTTTGACTTAATTTGAGTCAAATTTTCAGGCTAACAAGACAAATAACCTTACACATTCTGAAAACAAGATTATTATTCTTACACAATCAGTTCTTGTTTAGTAAATCAGTCTCAAAACAATATCAAAAATACGTTTTGACTGGATATAAGATTTTAAAACTTGGTTATGTGGACATTTTTTGCAGTGAAAAGAAGTTGATTTTGCATAATGTTTCCCCTTTAACACTTCTGACAAAGAACAGGAGTTGTGGTATTTACCTGCCACAAAGAGAGTAGAATTTCCTGACATTTAAAATGGTCAATCAGTTGTTTGATTTTAGACCTGTACAAACTTTTTATGTTTATATTTATCGCAACATAATAGGTCTACCACAAATCCCTGTTCTAAGTTTGAAGTGGAAACTGGAGAGAAGCAGATTTCCATCAGCAGCACCTACAAACACCCACCGAAGTTTACAAGAAATGCAATAAAGTGCAAGTGTAGGCAAGTGTGAAGTCTGCAGAGAAGTGCTGTTTGTGTGTTAGTTTATTTAATTGAATTTTACCGAGTGTCAGTATTTTTATTTAACATCTGATATTTACTTAGCCTATCAGAGGTATAAAGTTATGTAGTTGTTGTCAGAGAAGCGTGTGATCAGATGCAAGCAGGCAAACTAGACCCATCAGACACATAGATCTCCTCCATTTCTTTGTGATTTTATCAGCTCCTGCAAAAATTCGAATAAACTTCATACCTTGAAAAGGAGCGTCTGGAATGTATAAGTGGTACGAAAGTTGTGCAAGTGACACTCCTCATCATGCTGCTACTTTTGGAAAAGTGAAAAATTAGGCCATTCGCCAGCACTGGCTTAGTGTGCTCCGTGCAAAGAGGAAATCCAGAGGGTTGTGTGGAACCTCACATGCCATGCATACTAATAGTGTTTTTCACGAGGTGCAAAACCAGACAGCAAAAGGAAAAGATGGATGATTTATTGCTGGTGTTTTTCTAAGGATTTTTCTTTTCAGATTGTTTTAATTAAAAATAGGATCTAAATTTATCTATTTTTTTTCTTTCAGAAGCAGATTTTTTTTCTCGCATTTTCTCTGTGGTGGCATGTCGTGCCACGTACGTACAGCTATGGATAAGCTGTGAAGTCTCATACTGGGTTTCCTTGTAAAGTGGATGCAGTGTGGCTGCAGATGGCCCATCTCAATGTTGTGTTAATCAACAAGCACACCGCTCTCCTTCAACCACCTGCGACGAGACGTGGGTTAATGTGAATTACCATAACATAATCAATTTGAACTTCCTCACTGTGGTCAGTACAAAGACCCGTGCTGCTGTGGCTCAGTGCATCAGCATGCCAGGCTTGTTACACTGAGCATCACAAACACATAACTCAGTTGTTCTCTCCTTGGCACGGCTTCTGTCGTCAACCTCGTGACACGCGGCGCGTTTGCTTCGACAGCCAGCGCCCCCCACTTACCCCTCTCCTCTGTCATTTCCACATCCTCATCTCTCTTAGCTGTTTGTGTCGCCAACACTGCACTCTCTCAAGCCCTCCACCCATCTGCGTGCTGATACGGTGATGCAGTGAATCTGACTTAATAAAGCTTGAAGTACGTGTTGTCTTTCAAGCTGTCGATCATTCTAATTATTCATAGATGGAGCGGGGATTGGAGTGGGAGGCGAGGTCTCAGAGCAGCAGCTCAATAGTACAGCTTGGCGGAGGTGTTCTCACTGGCTGGAAAGAAAAGGTTGCCCTTGTGCACGATTCAGCATTTTCAGGCCCTAAATAGTGTGAACATTGTGCAATGTGTCATGTGTGAATTTTTAGTTAGTAAGTCATGTGGAGCTTGAAGTTATTCATACAGCGACCTGATTCACCCAGCCACACAGTTTAAAGGAGTGGTAGTCACGTAGCTGGGCCTATTCAACCAAACGTTCTTCAACAGATGTGTTGTATTAACTTAAATTATGTCAGCTGGTTCCACTCAACAGAACTGAGTAAATGTACCCTATTTACTTGTAAAATAAATTGAAACATTTCTTCACATTTACTCAGTTTAGTTGAGTGGAACTAGTTGACATAATGTGTTTAAGTAAATCCAACACATCTGTTTTTTGAGTGTGTTTAATGAGTCTTAGTATACAGTATATATATATATATATATATATATATATATATATACTTGAACGCTGAAAGACACTCACTGGCCACTTCATTAGGTACACTTGCAAAGTTAATTAACACAAATAGTTTTTCAGCCAATCACATTGCAACAGTTCGTTGCTTTTAGGAATGTAGACGTGGTGCAGATGACTTGGTTAATTTCAAACCAAGCAAAAAAATGGGAAAGAATGCGACTTGGTTGTTAATGCTTGATATGCTGGTTCAGAAACTGATAATCTAATGGGATTTTTACACGCAACCATTTTTTTAGGGTTTAAATAAAATGGTTTCAAAAAAGAGAACACATCCAGTAAGTGTCGTGTGTGTGGGGACAAAAAGTCTTGTTAAAGTCAGAGGTCCGAGGAGAATAAGCAGACTGCTTTGAAGTGACAATAAGGCAATGGTAGCTCAAATAACCACTCATTACAAACAACATACTATGTCTGAACACACATGTCCAACCTTAAAGCAGATGGACTGCAGCAGCAGAAGACCGCACAGAGTGCCAGAAAATGAGGCCACATTTCCCACATGTTCACCAAAATTAGGCAATAAGAGATTTTTAAAAAAATGCCGGCTGAGCCTCTGTAAATTCCAGTATATCATCAGACAAACAAAATTAATCTCAGGTGTGTTACCTTGCAACATTCAAGTAAATTTTGTTAAAAGAGAGAGCTGTTATTATCTTAAGGGAATCGAAATGTTTGTGAAACCCTGGGTTTGTACGAGCCTGAAGGAGCGATCCACTTTAATCCAGGGAATAAGTTTGTGGATCGGTCTGGAAGATGAGGTCAAAACTGCCAGATCTTTGTAAATATTAAAGAGAATGATAAAATCTGGTTTTCTGAAGAAATATGGAGAAGTGTACATGAATTCATGCAAATTGTTGTTTGAGTTGGTGTTTTAAAATTTGTTTTTAATTTTGTGTGTTTTTATTTGTTTTTATTTGTTGTAATTTACTTTTCTTTTGAACATATTTTGGGTATAAAAAAGGGGCAGACATATGATTTATTCTTCTTCTGCTGCCTTTCACTTTATTTGATTTCATTTTGATTGCATGTTTTTTGTTCTTTATTTTTTGTTAAAAATAAAATCAATAAATTTCTAAATTAAAAATAATAAAATAATCTATAAATCGTGTTTTGTTTATATCTAGAATGGTGTTTTTTTGTAAATGCAAGTTATCTGATTTATTTTTTCAAATGTGAAATTCTGCTTTAGTTTACTTGTAAAAAGCAAGCAATTGTAGTATTTTGAGTCTACTTTGTCTAAGCTAATTTCATAATTTTCTTCTTTTCATTTGTATAATATCATAAAATTTCTAGCCTGAAAATACTTACTTTGGCATTTTTCCCCTTTCATTTTCATGTTTACCTGACACAGTGTGTTAAGTAATTTATTTATTTATTTATTTATTTTTCCGGTGAGGCCAAGGGGAAATGTTCTTTTACTGCACGTTAAAAAAAATGAAACCAACACCTCTGAAATCAATTAGCCTTGGCATACATACACACACACACAAAAACAGCAAGCCCTCTGAAATGCCTTCATGAGATACTTCAAAAGCAAAGAAAAAAGCTCTTATTTGCAGGTGTTGTAAGTTCTTTTATTATTTTCATTTAAATGCAGTCGGCTTCAAGCCTTTCTAAAAGAAGCACAGAATGAAGCATTTTGTATGTATGTGTATTTTTTCTCTCTAAATTGTTTTTTTTTTCTTCTCACAGACAGCTCAGCCAGCATCCTTGCCAGAAGACGACGTTACAACCACCTGACACAGGATCTGTACAAGCTGCCCATTGTGGTGTGGGATGGTGGGGAGCCATCCTTAAGCGGCACCAGTACCCTGACCCTCCGAGTATGTCCGTGTCAGCGTTACGGCAAGATCCGGATATGCCAAGGCGAGGCGTTCCTCTCTTCTGCGGGTCTCAGTACGGGAGCTCTGATTGCCATCCTACTGTGCATCATCATCTTGCTTGGTAAGTCTGGGATACCGCTGTGGGAAGTGGAGCAGGGGAGATCTGCATGGGGCAAATGTCCTGAGGCCATGGACAGAGGAGATGAACCAGAGAGAATCAAGGGAGAGTGGAGGGGGTAGGAAGGGTATGACAAGGGCAGGGAGAAGAAGGATGAACGGACATGGGAGACATAGGTAGAATGTGAAATTAGAAAGTTGGTGAGACAGAAGGTGAAAAGAATATTTGTAAAACTTAAGAGAAGGAGAATACTGTATAGAAAGATGGGATTGGGGGAAATGGTAAATAGGAACTATTACATTTTAGGGCCAAGGGTCAGTGGGATACAGCAAATAGGTTCATACAAACTAAAAGAATACTGAGTACAACCCAAAAAGAGGTATGGTGCAGTAAGGTATGGCATGATAGGATAAGGAAATGAAATGAAATATGAAAAATAGTAAAAAAAAAAAAAAAAAAAAAAAATTATTGGCCACCATAGGTTTTTGACTGGAAAATGTAACCAACTTTGCAACCCTTGCAAAGTGTAGATAATTAAAAATCAGGTCTGGATTTCATGCATCACTTCTAATCAGAAACCACATAAACTAGATCTAAAACTTTTCAGGTGGTATGGATTCCTGCACAGAAAATGGCTTCTGCTTGAATGGATCAACAAATTCTACTAAGCTGTGAATAATTATTAGGTTGGTTCATTACAAAAGGTGAAATGAGCCAAAACTGTAAAGCCAATAATGAAAGAGTGGGTTTATTACGGTTGAAATGACACAGAAAGCACAAAAAATATCAAACATTTTGTTTGAAAAGGTTCACAAAGTAACGAATGCATCTAAAGATCCAAGACGAGCCTTGAGAAACATTTTACATAAAATAACCAGAAGCTCATTTTCTTTTTGTGCACCCATGTTCTACATCAAACCATTTTTTTTCTGAAGATATACCAAGTTCAAAAGGGTTCAGGGACTTAAGGCCCATCATATTCGTCTAATTGGGGCTTTCATGCTCTTCTTTTGTCCATCCTTCTACTGTCGCCATAAAATTATTCTCAGCTAACATTTTGAAGGTTGTGTCTGTTCTTAAAATGCATCCAGCTTAAAGTGGACTAAGAACAGAGGAGGATTTATCATTCCTAAAAGCGGCAGCACATAATGTATCATTTAAGGGCTTTTTTAACACATCAATGTTGTCTGAAGGTGGCATGACATGTTCCACATCCAAAGGGACACAATGGGATCCAGTCTTTAATTTGCATTTGACAAAAAAAGCAATAAATAAATTTAAAAAAGTGATAGAAAGCAACAGAGCTAACCTTAATGCAAGAGTAGGGTTGGGTGGTATTGCTCATATTCATACTGCGGGGTAAACGGTATGACAGATTGTGTCATACCGTTTGTGTATTTGATTAGTTTTAAGTGAAAGGGGATAAAACTGAATGCCTCCATAGGTTTAGCTGAGCAGATTTTTAGGTGAACATGTGTTTCATAAACAAGCGCTCATAGTTGTTGATTGCTGTTGTTTCTATGCGTGCACAATTGTATAATCTTTACATGAAACACACCTTTGAAATTTAAAACATAACAAAAACTCCCAATATAATATATTACTTCAATAAAAAGACTTTGTGCAGTAAACACTGATTTGTCTTAACTAATAAAACAGTAAAAAGCAGTTATTCTATTAGATATAAACTTTATCAGGATAACTTAATTGTATTAGGTGCTAAAAACCATAAGTATAAATGCACACAGGTAAATACATTTTCAGCATAGCAACTTTGTGATCTAAAAGCATTCTTTCAAACAAGCTTCCAAAGAAAATTAAAGTGGAATATGATCATAGAAAAGTTATTTTATTATATTTTTTGTCTTTAAAAACCAAGTTCAAAATAAAACTTTTTACAGCTGTAATTATAATACCATGATACTGTGAAACCGTGATATTTTTGCCCAAGGTTATCATACCATCATAATTTCATATTGTCCCATGCCTAGCTTGGAGATAATCAGGTCACTGGTATGCAATGCTGTTTTGCTGTTTGTTGGCGAGCGTATAATGTACCATGTGCAGTACTTTTGTTCACCTAGAGACTGCAGTGACACAGGAGCAGTGATTTGTTTCATTAAGAGGAAGTGTCATGAACTTTTGCAAGTTAAAGCTGCACTGAACTGGTAGTGGAAAAAAGACCCCAATATGAAATTCACCAAAGCCCTTCAGGTCTGGTTTACCAACAGAGCCAATGAATGCAACTTTATGTAACATTAATAATAATCATACCTTCTCACAGTGTTCTGAGCATGCTCCATAGATCCTGTCTGCAGGCTTTACAACAAAAAGAAATGTTAAATTTCTAACAAACACAGCAAAATGCACTTACAAAATATACAGAAATATAAAGTTCTCCATGTAAGCTCGTGGTTCTTTGGTACAACATAAAATGTCTGTCAATGGCTTTGGTCATTTACACATATTGTTGCAGACTTGCACATAGGTCGATATATCTATTCTCATTCAGGGACTTGATTCAAGGGCAAGGACAGTGGTCCCATTAAAATGTCTAGTCTTGCTAAAACCAAATATTTGGTTATTTGTGTGTAAGAACAAAATGCACATCACATATATTAAGATGCTTGAGTGAAATCTTGAAGTCATCGTTGATGATTGTGCACACTGAAACATGGCCTTGAATTTAAGAAACCCGAAGCTTATTTGTATGTTTTATTTTGTATTGTCTTCATTTTTCTGTTATTTTCTTTTCTTGTTTTTATTATTGTTGGATGTTGTGTTGAGGACTGCAGATGTAAACTAGCCGTAGGCTAAATCTGGTGCAATGCATCAAATGTTTTTATGTTTATGTTTTAATTGCACATTGTTCTTTTAAATAAAGTTTGTTAGTTTTTTTCGTTCATTCGTTCGTTCATTTTATGATGAATGAAGTCATAGACATACACAAACTGTATACATATATTTGTTTGTTTGTTTTCTTCACTTTTTGCTTTGTGAGTGTGATACATTGCATTTTGTGACTAGATGAGAATGCGACAAGCAAATAGACATATGTGAGGACAATCAACATGCTGCCACTCTTCCTGATTTTTCTAGTAAAATATGTTTCACGTACCATGAAAACAAAACCGTCATAAATATTTTGGCAAAAGAAAGGACCTTTTTCGTGTTAGTAGCCAGTCATAGCACCCAGAAAGCATGTCTCAGATAGTGAGAATGTGCGCAGTGTTACTATGGAAACATGTCTTTCCATTGACAAGCAGAAGATTTTATACAAACTTGCAAAGATGATCATGTCTCCAGAATAGCAAAGCAGACCGTCAGTGTTAACAGGTTAGATAAGAAATATTCATCTGAGCAATCAAAAACATCAAAAATAATACACATATTGAAAGTGAAAGATCAAAGGGAACTCATTAAATTTCCAGAAGTAAACAATCACCTATCAGTTCCAAGAGGGTTTAGAGCTCCATTCTCTGTGAACCCATCTGCATTAGGACATGATTAGATAAAACTGTCTAATAACCTAGTTGCTTCTCTTTCCTCCTCTTATTACTGATTGTCTGTGGACATTAGTGCGTGAAGGTTATGCATAATCATACAGACTGTCTTCCTCTTCCGTTCTTCTGGCAGAGGCAAACAAAAGGCCATCAGTGTTTGCAGAAAACAGTTGAGTCAGAGACATGCAGTGAATATCTAAAGATCTACACAATGCAGACCCTAGTTAGGACAAAAAGCAGAAAATGATAATATAAGATTCCTATTTTCTTTGAGGGGAGGAGGGTTGACCTGTGTTTCAATTTGTATTCACACTCCAGTTTTGAGTTTTAAGTTTCCAGTTTCATGTCTCACATATCATGTAGCTCAGCCATTAGACACAGGTTAAACCCAAGAGACTTGAGGTTTTGTAAATGGGCTTCTACCAATAAATAAATTAATAAATAAACAGATTCTAGTCCATTAAACTTACTTTATCATTTGAATAAAATGTAAATTCTCTGGACCATTGTTTTACATGATTTCACCTACCATTTTGGCATGACAAAATAATAACAGCCGAGTGTATAAGCTGTAACGAACTGATGTTCAAAGATTCATCCAAAGTAACGTTTGTTTCTCTCTGTGTAGTAACATCACGAACAAGCATTGTTTGTGTTTAATGGCTCTTTGCAGACTTGGCATGCGCCTCTTTTTCAGGGTTTGCTTGTGCCTAATGGAAGAGAAAGAGTTTGTCCATTTTTACAGCTTGTCTTTTCTCTTTGTTTTCAATTTGAACACAATGTTCCCATCACATTTACACCTGACTGATTCAATGCATCATTATTACTGTGCATGTTGCATTCATTAACCCTGTATGTTCTTTAAGATCAGATCATGTCAGTACTTTACAGTGCACAAACCTATGTTCTTGAAAAGGGCATTGGACTGTATGAAATGTTATGTTTTAGCGTACTTGTTTATCTAATGTGCAGTGATAGTTGAAGAAATGTTTTTTTTTTCTAATGAAATGTATTTTTTATACAGTGGGGCGCGAAAGTTTGGGCAGCCTTGTCAATTTTCCTGATTTACTTTTACAAATCATCGATTGTTTGGATTTTTAAAAAAATCAGTAAAATATATTATATATGGAGAAAAACACAGTGATATTTGAGAAGTGAAATGAAGTTGATATGATTTACAGAATGTGTGATTTACAGAATGTGTTTAAACAAAATTAGGCAGGTGCATAAATTTGGGCACCAAAAAATAACAACTCAATATTTAGTAGATCCTCCTTTCACAGAAATAACAGCCTCTAAACACTTCCTATGGCTTCTAACGAGAGTCGAGATTGTGTCTGAAGGTATTTTGTATCAATTTTCTTTACAAAACATCTCTAGTTCATCCAGTTTTGATGGTTTCCAACCACAGACAGCTCTATTTAAGTGACACCACAGATTTTCAATTATATTCAGATCTGGGGATGGGTATGGCCATTCCAGAACGTTGTACTTGTTCCT